GAGTAAATAATATTAATTATTTGAAGAATTTAAAGCCATGTAGTTGTTCAAAAGCTGTGTATACTATACATCATTTAATTTAACATCTTTCTGTCTTTACTTTAGAAATTACTTCATATCAATATTACAAAGGTTGACAAATGGTAAATAAATTTAAAATAAATAAATTTAAAGTACCAGACCACCTCACATGTCTCCTGAGTAACCTGTATAAGGGTCAAGAAGCAACAGTTAGAACTGGATTTGGAAAAACGGATTGTTTTAGCATAGGAAAAGGAGTACGACAAGGATGTATATTGTCACCCTGCTTATTTAATTTATATGCTTATAAATTAATATACAGCTCTAGCTATCAGGAAGCTCTTCCTAATGTATATTGTCACCCTGCTTATTTAATTTCTATGCAGAGTACACAATGCAAAATAATGGCCTGGATGAATCACAAACTGGAATAAAGATTGCCGGGAAAAACATCAACAACCTCTGATATGCAGACAATACCACTCTAAGGGCAAAAAGTGAAGAGGACCTAAAGAACCTCTTGCCCAGGGTGAAAGAGGAGGGTGCAAAAGTTGGCTTGAAATTCAACAACTCAACATAAAAAAACTTAAGATCATGGCATCTGGCCCGCTCACTCCTTGGCAAATAGAAGTGGAAATCATAGAAGCAGTGATAGACTTCACGTTCCTGGGATCCAAGATCACTGCAGATGGTGACTGCAGCCATGAAATTAAAAGACACCTGCTTCTTGGGAGGAAAGTGATGGCAAACCTAGACGGCATAATAAAAAGTAGAGAAGCCTGCCAACAAAAGTACATATGGTCAAAGCAATGGTATTCCCAGTAGTAATGCATGGCTGTGAGAATCATAGAGTTGGAAGTGACCTCAAGGGTAATCTAGTTCAATCCCTTGCACAAGGCAGAATATTCACAAATACCTCCCCTTCCACACCCGCAGTGACCACTGTTCCACACCCAGAAGATGGAAAAAAACCTCCAGAATTCCTGGTCAAACTGGCCTGGAGAAAAATTGCTTCCTGACCCCGAAGTGGCAATCAGCATTTCCCTGGGCGTGTAAGAAAGAGCCACAAGAACTAAGCACTGAGGCAACCCTTCCTGCCCTCCTTCTCATGATCTGCCTAAATTCACAGAATCCACATTGCTGTCAGATGGCCATCTAGCCTCTGTTTGAAAACCTCCAAATAAGGAGAGTCCACCACCTCCCGAGGAAGCCTGTTCCACTGAGGAACCACTCTAGTTGTTAGGAAGCGCTTCCTAATGTTTAACCGAAAACTCTCCTGATTTAATTTCCACTCACTGGTTTTGGTCCAACCTTCTGGGGCAACAGAAAACAACTCTGTACCATCCTCTGTATGACAGCCCTTCAAATACTTGAAGATGGTTATCGTATCACCTCTCAGTTGGACCATAAGGAAGGCCAAGCACCAAAGAATAGATGCTTTCAAATCATGGTGCTGGAGAAGACTCTTGAGAGTTCCTTGGACTGCAAGGAGATCAAATCAGTGAATTCTAAAAGAAATCCACCCTGACTGTTCCCTGCAAGGCCAGATACTGAAGTTGAAATACTATGGCAACCAAATGAGAAGGGGGCACTCACTGGAGAAGACCCTGATGCTGGGAATGATTGAAGGTAAAAGAAGAAATGGACGGCAAAGGATGAGATGGAAAGACAGTGTTATTGATGCAACGAACATGAAATTAAGCAAACTCTGGAGGATGGTGGAAGACAGGAGGGCCTGGTGTGATGTGGTCCGTGGGGTCACGAAGAGTCGAACTCGACAACAACAACAAACTGCGAAATACTAGAAACAAAACAAAGGATTAGCATCCTGTCTGACTGTAGTAACCTACATCTTGACTCTCTAAAATCTAATTCACATGTGCTAGCCCCAGGTGAGAGTTAGAACAAAGAGCAACCAACTTTCTAAGCCTCCACCCCCTGGACATCTTCTGATCTATTGATTACCCAATTGGAGAATCCCAAACCTATCTAATTATGTATTTTATCGCTTTGTTGTTAATCGACCTGGCATTGCACAACACCAATGACGGAGAGGGGTTCTCTCTCGGAGCCCCACTGTCAGTCACCCTTGGGATGGGTCTCAGGCTGGAAGGATGCCGAGCCTTTCCATTTCTCCGCATCCTTCCCTTCACATACTGCCGAGAACCACCGCTATACTTACCCCGCCCCAAGAGCACCGGAATAGCATGACCAGATGTTGCCATCACGGGGCGACCTCCACAACATATCAGGTCGCCCACCATTTACAATATTGGCAAGTACAAATAAACACAATCCTCTCTCCAGCAATAACTAACAGTTAACTACCTACTCCTCTAATTTATGCAGTAGCCAAATTGCTCCCTCACAATTTGAATGCCAGTGGCTCACAAAGTGAATTTTTTGCTCACAAGACTCCACAGCTTAGAGGGAGCAACAACTCTTGCTGAGAACTAATTCCTACCGTCCATAGGTAGAACAGGACAAAAAGGAAGATTTCTTGCTTGCCAAGAGGTTCACCTGCCTAGTCGACTTCTTCTGTCATCTGCCATTTCCGACCGAGGTCCCCTGGAGGGGCACCACCTAGAACTCCCCCCACCCCTCCCCAAAACTCTGCCGGAGCTCCTGAGTCACCTGAAGTCGATGCCATCAGGTTCTTGGAGACCGCAAGGCCTGTCACAGCTCCGTCGTGACCCTGAAGCGTACGGAGGCACGAGGGAGGGAGGTCTGAGGTGTTCCAGATGCACAGCGAGCCGCTGTTGCTGCCCCCAACCAGGAAGAGGCTGTCCAACCAAGCCAGGCTGCAGACAGCCACCCCGCTCGCTCCGCAGTGTGTTGGGTCGACGCCAGATCCTGCAAGGGAGAGGGGAAGCCACATGGAAGAAAATACCACCGCTTTAAAGACCAGTCCTCCAGCGAACTGCACCCACACGTAAGCGCCATCAAGTCCCAACAGACATATGATGACCCCAGCAAGGGGCTTCCAAGGCAGGTGAGAAGCAGAGATGGTTTGCCATTGCCTTCCTCTGCAGGGCCTTCCTTGGTGATTTCCCTTCCAGGTACCGACCCTGCGAGATTTGACAAGGTTGGGCTATACCATGTCATTCCACATCCCCGAGCACCTGTACTCCCCCCCCATCTGCTCTCCAAACATGGCGTCTTGCTGGTCACTTACGCCACGGCTGGTGATGGACCCAGACGTCATCGGAGTGGTACCCAACAGCGAGCTGTCTGCCGTCCGGACTGGGGGCCGTGCACAGAGCAGCAGAAAGGGCCGAGGACTGTAAGGTGCTCCAGAGCTGTCCCAAGTGGCCAGTCCAAAGCTGGACCTGCAATGCAGGGCAGGGGGCATTTGTCAGACCAGACCAAAGAATCACTGGCTTGCACACAGATGGGTTTCTGCTGCTGTCCTCGCCTGCAAACTGATGCCCTACTTCACTCTGCCACTCCCTTGCATCTGCTTAATTATAAAAGAATAGAGGTATGGCTTTTTAGCCCCAGATTTGCAGAACTGTGGCTAACAGAACTCTGGATCTATTCTCCTTACTATCTGGCAAGCGTCAAAACTGACATGATGTATCCTAATATGCTGGCTGGTGCTAGGACTGCCAACTGGCCTGGAGAAAAACATCTCCTGTCCCTTCAACAGAGGCTTCATGGAATGCTATCGGCCAGGTGATGTTATTTACTGCAGTCCCATGAAATGGTTCAAGTGTCCATTTCCACACGTGACATACTTAAGTACCATCAAGTTGCAACTGACTTATGGTGACCACCAGCAAAGGGCCATCAAGGCAAGTGAGGAGCAGAGGTGGTCGGTCATCACCTTCCTCTGCAGAGCCTTCCCTGGCGGTCTCCCATTCAAAGTACTGATCCTGCTTAGCTTCTCAGCTCTCAGGAGATCGGGCTATAACAGGCTCAAATGTGCCTTCCATTTTTCCACATATTAAGCTTTTATTAAAAAGGACGTTTCTCTCCAGGACAGCTGGCAACCCTAACTGGTACACCCAGGGCTGGCCCGCTGTATGAAGACCCAAAATGAACCCAAGCAAGGCAAGATTTTTGCTCCTCCTCCTTCCACGGTCTAGGACTCCCGATCCTTTTCTCCTAAGTCCTATGAATCTGGAAGCCGGTTCATTGGCTGTACAAAGCAGTACCTTGCTGTCTTCTCCTGCAGTGATGAGCTTCCCCCCTGGGAGGAACTGAGCGGTGGCGACACAGCCAGAGTGAGCCGTGAAAGTGCACAAGGCGACAGCTTCCCGCCACGACCAGAGACAGACGGTTCCAGCCAGAGACCCGGCTGCCAAAACGTTGCCAGCAGAGGAGAAGGAAATGCAACAGATGGACGCGTCGTGGCCTTTTAACTCCTGCAGAAGATTTGAGTCGAGAAAACGACATGGCTCTATAAGCCTTCTTTGAAAATGACCTGAGAGCCCCCCATTTTGGTTGCCCTCATGTTCACGAGCCCCCAAAGCTCCTCAACTACCCCCACCCCATGCCACTTTGAACCTTCCCCCCTTCCTCACCGAGACCACGCTCATATCATTCACGTCCAGAATGATGACAGTCCTATTCCACCCTCCTGCAGCCACCAGCTGACCCACAGGGTGAAAGGCCGCACAGTTCAAGGGATGTGAGCAGTCTCGCTCACATATCATGTGACCTCGGGCCGACTCCCAGAGCTGAAAAAGGAAATCAGAGACATACATTATTGCTACTATTTATTACTAAGGTCCCACACACCAAACCCCCCCACCTATTGCTAGTAATGGACAAAGCATTCAAATGTGCAATTTGCAAGTTGCCTACTAACCAATCACTAAAATTTTTAGAACTCTGCTTTCTCTAGGCATGTGTTCTTGTTTCCTTAACTGTTTTACACTTCTGCAAACAGGCTGCTGACAGGAGAAGAAGACAGCATTGCGTTTTTACCATTCTGACAAGAATCTTGTTTGCCGCAGACCGGGGGCCAGATGAATCAAATAACCGGCATTGTCAAAGGCCAGATCATGAGGGGATGCTACTCTTATGTGTTCCTGGTTTGAGGGAAACAAGCTTGGGCATTTCAAAGAAAAAAAAACTGGCTTGCCAAAATGCAGGCGACTATGCTTAAGATGTCTGGGGATAACTGAGCAAACACTGTTGATGATCCCTGTTGTACATGCATGTACATACAGCATTTGTCACTTGCAAAATGTTTTGCTGCTATACAACAGTGTTAATAACCCCCTAGGGGTACGGTCATCGTTTTCCATTTTCCCCATGCTACAGGTGGGGAACCTGAGCAGCCTAAATAGCCCAGACTACCCCAATCTTGTCTGAGCTTGGAAGCTAAGCAGGGCTGGCCATGGTTAGGCCTTGGATGGGAAGCTCAGGGTCAGTATGCAGAGGCAGGCAATGGAAAACCACTTCTCAACGTCTCTTGCCTTGAAAACCCCACAATGGGGTCACCATCGGTCAGTTGCAACATGACGGCTCACTTAACCTTTGCCTGGGTCAGTGGTAGGTGACACTGGAATGTGAGTTTCCCAAATTCAGTTCCAATTTAAGATTAGATCAAATGAGAAGCTTGGAATTTGGAGATGAAGGAAGAGGACTCCATGGGCTGTTAAAAGGGACATTACGACTACAAGGCACCCTGAGGAATTCACTGCCACAGGAGGTGGTGGCGGCTACAAGCATGGACAGCTTCAAGAGGGAATCAGATGAACATATGGAGCAGAGGTCTTCTAGTGCCCTGGCCCCACTGATGGACCTCCTGATGGCACCTGGTATTTCTGTTATTTTTTTCAGTCTCCGTAGAGACTGTCAAAAATTGCCAATGCCGACTATATTTCAAGTCGCCATGGCGGGGTATTGGGAAAAGTTTTCAATTAGCAATAATCGCGCCTCGGATTAACCTCATTGGCTACGATACTGCCACTGCGCAAAGGTATTTCTGGCCACTGTGTGACGACAGAGTGTTAGACGGGATGTGCCACTGGCCTGATCCAACATTGGCTTCTCTTATGTTCTTATGAGGTGGCCTCCGGTAACCACTTGATAATGTGAACTTCTTAAAAACTTGACAGGGACGGCTTATGGAGCTTCCTAACCCCTGGAAAACTGGAAGATAACGCAGATCCAGCGAGTCAGAAAAAGGGGTGGAAGAGAGGCCCCTACCTTAATGTAGCCATCCAGGGAGACAGTAGCCAACAGTCGGAGGTCAGGATTGGTGCAGCAGTCTGTAATCTGGGCCTTGTGAGCCTCCATGCCCATGAGCCTGCAAACGGAATGAGAAACCAGTGATCTGAGGCTGCGCCCAGCCAATTTAACGCCATAGCACCTGGGAGGGATGGTATCAAAAGAATTTGAAACCAGAGCCGGGGATCTGAGCTTTCGTGGTCATATATGAATTCAGTTACCTGCCCTGATCCCGGGCTGCCACTTGGAAGAGCAGCAGCTGGCACAGGGATTGGCCAGTCACTGCATCACCAGCATTGGGAGTGCTCAGATCTGGACACTCAGTCAACGTCCAGCCTTATCATTCCAAGGAAGGATGGCGGCCATTTTGTATCTACCCACACCCATGCCTGGTCCCTCAACGTTCCGGTTGGCCTCAGCTGAAAATTGCCTTGTTGCCACTTCCCATTCTGCACAATGGTTTCTGAGCACCATCTAAGGGACCGACCTGCATCCTTCCCTCACGCTCCAGAGCTCCAACCGTCCATCGAAGGTACCGAGGCAGACAGACGTCTCTGACAGGAACACGCAGGCAGAGATTCCATCATAGTTGCTCAGCAAGGATTTCAGTTCCTAAATTGCAGTGCGGGGGTGGGTGGGGGGAGATTGGGGTGAAGGGACATTAGAATTTCCTTCGCGGATCAGCTCAAACATCCATCGCTCTGTTTCCAACAGTGGCAACTGGGGAATATCAAAAGGCCCCGATGCTAAGCAACTCTACTGAGGGGTATTGACAGGTGGCACAAGTCAAACCAACAGTTTTACCTGCTCAGTCTTCATATCGAAGAAGTGGAGGGTTCCCTCAACAGTGCCCACAGCAGCCAGGCTTCCAGAGGGGGAAACTGAGGCACTAGATGGTGTGGCTGGTAGAGGCAGAACGAGGCTGGTGAATATTGGAGGAAGGAAAAATAAACAGATTATACTCTGTAGGAAAGAGGTGTGTGCATAAAATTGTTTCCATGGTGCTACCTTTACAAAGTTACCTCACGTTCTCTTGGGCTTCCTGAGGTTTGTTAATCCACTTCAGGAAATGCCTTCCATTTCCGCACAGCTCAGCCTGGGCTTGCGAACAGAGAGCGGAGGAGTCTGGTTCATTCGCAGCCTGTTGCAGAAGCAGCCAAGGATTCTGGGAAATCAGGTCAATATTCCTTTGCAAGAAGGCACGGAAAGCGTCCACGGTCTCATCGTGTTCCGAGCCAACGGCACCCTCTGTCAGGGTAGAGGTTTGAGGTCAGTGGAGATGGGAGGATGGATTTGGTATGTGGTCTGTCTTGATTAGCTTAAAAGTCAAGTTTAACAAGCAGTTTGGTTTTCGCCCCCTATGACTCACCATAGAGCGCATAGGCTTCTGAGAGGAAGGGGAGGAGGCCCAGCCGGACATGAGCGCTCAGGACTCTCAGGTCAGTCAGGAGAGAAGCCAGAATGTCGAGACAGCCACTTTGGACCTGATGGGGGAAAGAGCTTTACTACAGGGCCCCCTGTCCTGCTTCTTACACACTGTATGGCTCTTCCTACCATGTCAAGTTCAAATCCACATCTGCAAAGAACATCTCTCTGCTCCCAAAGTGCTTTAACCACTTTCCCCTCTGTATCTGTGAAGGATGAGAAACACACCTCTTCCCCCCAGGTTTAAAAAAGCAAGAACTCAGCTGCTCAGGGTGCTGCCAAAAATGCCCCAATATAACACAACCGTCACAGCCATGCATATTCCTAGCCCCCCAGTGAGTGCTACCTTGACCGCCACGGGCATTACTTGTAGTGCTCAGTCACTCACCAGGTGGTAAGGAAGCGCTGTCAAGGATTCTGCCTCACAGTTCCGAAAGCTCCTGGAACCATCGGGGTCGGAGAGTTTCCACCAGTGGGCTGCATGAGAGAAAGCACCGGGACAGCTGCTCTACTGGTGTCAAATACAGCTAGACCTGTCAGTCCGCTGACATTCAGTTTACCCAGCCAATTACGACATGGTTGGATACTCCCATAGGATAGGGCAGGGGTGATGCAGCTTACGTACATACTGTCCTGTCCCCCTCCCCGGACTCCCAAGGCAAGAGCTGGAGATTACCTGCCAAAAGCACATGAGCTGTGCGGTCCAAGCCTGGCTTTTTCAGGTAGCGCCTTTCCACCGCCATCTTCAAAGGGGTGTCATAGAGATGGAGCCGGGAACCGGGATGTTCTGCTGGAGAACCACATGCCCTGAGGAGCCTGTGGGGGAATGGAGACCGAGTGCCCTCAGAGCCAGGAGCCATTCGTCTCAAGCACCGAACGGGATTATGATACATTCCACTTTCATAGTGGGGGACTGCGGTCATGTCCCCGTTGACTCGTAGCAGAACAACTGTCTACTGCCAGTGGGCACTTCCAGCTCCTGTTCAGCTGGATGATGGTGGTGGGAAATGGTGGTGGGAGGGAAGCATCCTGACACGCTGATGCCACGCCCCCTGGACCTGGAAATGTCATCAGCACATCACTGGGGACGCTCTGGCATTTCGTCAATGTAGAGTTTTCTGCAAATGTCAGAGCGTGCCTGGTGCTGATGTCATGTCTGGGCACACAGGGAGTGAGGTCGGTACATGGCTGGTGAGGGGGCCTGCCACCAGTCAGCCCCGTGAATTGTCACTCTTGAGTAAAGCCTACGCAGTCTAGGCCCCTTCCGCCCCTGCTCCAAGCACCATCCTTAAGAGAGTTCAGGAAAGAAGAAGAAGAAGAGAATTGGATTTATACCCTGCCCTTCACTACCCAAAGGAGTCTCAGAGCGGCTTACAAACTCCTTTCCCTCCCCACAACAGACACCCTGTGAGATAGGTGGGGCTGAGAGAGCTCTTGACAGAAACTGCTCTTTTTCAAGAACAGCTGTGCCAGGACTACGGCTTGCCCAAGGTCATCCAGCCAGGGGGTCAAGTGGAGGAGTGGGGAATCAAACCCAGTTCTCCCAGATTAGAGTCCGTGCACTTAACCACTACACCAAACAGGACCAGGGCCTTTTCTGTGGTGGCTCTGGAGTTATACAGACATCTTGCATGGGCACAATCATAAAGGAGTTCTTCCCTAGTCACTTTTCACAGGAGAGCAAGGATTACCTTTTTCTTCCATCAAGCTGGAGACTTTAACAACTACTTCCGTGCAGCTTGATCAAATTACTCCTGCAACAGGTCTTTCATGCTTCCATTTGTTTCTTTATAAACTGCCATGTAAACGTTTTGAGAAGAGGGAGTCTAGAAATATACTGTAAATAAAGTCACCGAGCCAATCTGGATCAGTGAGGGATCGAAGAGTTCATGAAGTGTGGTACTCCCAGGGGGCATGTGCTCTAAAGTCCTTGTGGGGGGCCCCACACACAATTTTAGCAGTAGAAAAGAGCAAGAGTCCAGTAGCACCTTAAAGACTAACCAAAGTTGTGGCAGGGGAGGAGCTTTCATGAGTCGCTGCTCACTTCTTCAGATGTGTGAACCATTCCTTAAACTACCCAAGGGTTGGTTCAAAGAAGGTGGTGAACGAGGCACCACCAGAGAACCCAAAGTAGAACTGCTCACCCCTTCAGGCTCCGGAGGAAGTCGAAGAAGGGCGCCATGGGGTAGCCTCCAGCATGTCTCCCGGCATGAATGGCTTCTCCCAGGCCTATGTCGGCTCCATCCAGCTCTTTCCATGTAGCCAGGATGCCATAGAGATCTCGCTCGGTTAGTCCTGTAACGGGCACAGCGACAAGAATCTTCCAAAGGCCACTCTGGCTACACCCCAAGGGCAACTCATGAGATGCTACGATGCAGCCACCTCTGGTGCAGAGCCAGCCAAACCACAGACTGCACAGTTGAACAGTCCCGTTTGTTCCACTCACCATCCCTGCTGGCCCAGAGAGACACCAAGGCTACGGCGACCAGCTCCGCCCCATGGTCCTGCTCCAGGCACCCCAGCAGGTGCTGCAGCAGCAGAGGGAGAGAGACAGGCAGTTTCTGGATCCTCTCCGAGAGCTGGGGGAGAGGAAGAAAAGGGAAACTGAATATCTAACCCTGCGGGCACCTTGGGAGACGCAGCACTGTACGAGCTGCACTCTCCTCCACCCGCACCGGCCCCCTCACCTTCTCATACAGAGCAAAGAGCCGCAGGTCTTGCGTCAGCAGCATCAGGTACAAAGGCTGCCGGGAGCCACGTTTGAGAAGTATGAGGCGCATCTGGGAGGACAAAAGGGAACATTCTGAACAATTAGAGTATCCCACAAAACAGCCCCTCCAAATCTGTTCCCCCCGCCCCAGATTTTTTCACAATGGGGTCCCTTGCCAAAAGTCATGAGGGAGAGGGTGGACATCCAGAACTCACAGTCTGGACCAGTTTTCCATAGTTTAAACAGAGTCTGCCCTGATGAAGCAGCACCCAAAACTGCATCCTGAATCACACAACCTGACAAGCCCTCTATTTCCTGCTGCTTTGTCTATTTTGGCTGTTGGGAGAGAGTCACCTGCCCGGGTGGCCCTGATGGGGCAGAAAAGAAAGACATAAACTCTGAACATTGACAGAAGTTCTAAAACTTCAACAGTCTACTATAAGCGTCCATGCGCAGCACATCGTGCCCGTCTCCCCATTCAAGCTATGGTGGTTTATATCTGAAGCCACAAGGACTACAGATTTATTTATTATTGATTTACAAAATCTGCATCCTGCCTTTCTGCCCTCCCAAGGGCCACCGAGACACCAAAGCTTGTCCAAAATAAAAGCTAAGAATCTGCAGAAGTTTCCCGTTCCACATTTGTGTGCCACAATCCTGGCCACATGGAATTCTCGTGCAGGGTGTTCCAATAAGTCTCCATAAAAAGCCCCTCTATTTACCTGGTTGTTGAAGGCGGACTCTTCCAGCTTCTTGCCATACAGTGCCAGATCCTTACGGACCATGACCGCCCGATCAGGGGAGTCCAGAGGCCCCAGGGAAACGACAGTCACCTCCTTCCGTCGCTTGAGGGACCTGAGGAGGGACGATTCCTCCGAGACGCTGAGGATGAGGCTGACTCGCTGCAGGGGGGGAGAGAGAATGAATTCCACAGACAGATCTGGGTGGGCACTGCAATGCCCCCTCTAAGCTGTGGAGTCTTGTGAGCAAAAATCCAAGTAAGCGAGCTAGTGGCATTAAAGTTGTGAGCGAGCGATTTGGCTACTGCATAAATCAGTTTGCTTTGGAGCCATCCTTCCCGAGCTAGGACAGAAATGTGTGAGCCAGAGGCTAAAAAAAATGTGAGCTAGCTCACACTAACTCAGCTTAGAGGGAACGCTGGTGGGCAGCAGAACTAAGTTCGAGTCTGGTGGCACCTTTAAGACCAACAGCATTTTCTTCAGGGTATAAGCTTCTGTGTGCAGGCATCTGCCTACACCCAGAATAAAACTTTGTTGGTCTTAAAGGTGCCACTGGACGCCAACTTTGTTCTCACAGACAGACTCACAGCCAGAATGTTGTCTGAGCAGAGCCTTCTGTGGGGGCCACCCCTGCCAAATGGCCAAACCAGCCACGGCCCAGACACAGGCATTCTGAGTTGTGGCTCCCGACTTCTAGGACAGATTGCCCAAGGAGGTCAGGAAGGCTCCCGCTCTCCAGACTTTCTACACACTCAGCAAAACTGAAAAAGTGCAGGAAAAGTGTAGAAAAGGGCAACTAGAATGATAAAAGGGTTGGAACACTTTCCCTATGAAGAATGGTTAAAGCACTTCAGGCTCTTTAGCTTGGAGAAACAACGGCTGAGGAATGACATGATTGAGGTTTATAAGATTATGCATGGGATAGAGCAGGTAGAGAAAGAGGTACTTTTCTCCCTTTCTCACAATACAAGAACTCGTGGGCACTCAATGAAATTGCTGAGCAGTTGGGTTAGAATAGATAAAAAGAAGTACTTCTTCACCCAAAGAGTGATTAACACATGGGATTCACTGCCACAGGAGGTGGCGGCAGCTACAAGCATGGACGGCCTCAAAAGGGAATTAGATAAGCATATGGAGCAGAGGTCCATCAGTGGCTATTAGCCACAAGGTATAGATAGGGGCTCTGGGGCAAGTGATGCTCTGTCTTCTTGGTGCTTGGGGGGGGGGCCAAAACAGTGGGAGGGCTTCTAATGTCCTGGCCCCACTGCTGGACCTCCTGATGGCACTGGTATTTCTGGCCACTGTGTGACACAGAGTGTT